TGTGACCATCTACATGTGGTTTATTTGCATGAATCTGTAGAATAAAATGAGCTTGAGATAACTGCATCCTTTCAGGTTCCTCTCTTTGGTTCTTGCTGCTCTGAGGATAAATTTGTTTCTCCAAAAAATTGGAGCTTCTTTGTTTTTTTTACACTTATGGTTTTATGACGGGATGAATGAATTGCAGAGTGAAAACCTGGGAAGTTCCTCTAAAACCGAAGAATGAAAGCTGATGAAACAATTGTTGTGACTTCCTTCTGTATGAATAATAAAACCAAACGCCCCTCCATTGACAATATTTGAACACTTCCTTAATAAAGGTTGTTGCTATCCAGAAAAATGTCCAAGTATTTTTTTAAAAACACTGAAATGTGGACTTAATTTAATTCCAGCTGATAGAAGAAGAAGAAACTGGCCAACTTTGACTTGAGAAAAGGCCTTTTTTTAATTTAATTTTTAATTTATTTATTTAATCAGGACAGTGCTCATTAATAAACAATCTTACACTTCAGTACAGATTGTAAATGAGCCATATTCTAGCATAGTTTACAACACAAAATCACATAATGTAACCAGCTGCCTTCAGTTTTGCTGATCGGCTGCATTCAGACACACATAAGCAGCTTTTAAATATGTATTCTGATATATGTTCTTCACATAAAATGAGCCAAAGCCAGTGAGTCTCAGTTTGAAAAATTGATTCATTTAATCATTTTTTTTTAGTAAAAAATTAAAACGGGTCCCACAGACCCGAACACCACAAAAGGGTTAAGCAAAAATAGAAAAAGGGAGTCAAACACATCTACGTAAACTAGACTGAGGCGTGAACACTGGGCTAAGTTACCAGTGGTTACGGTTTAACACAAAACGTTGCTGTTGCAGAAAAATTCAGCACAAAACTCAAGCTGAGAAGGAAAAAAGAAAAGAGGAAAAAAAGGCAATGGTGGAAATCGTCTGCAGGAAACGCTTTAATCCAGAGATCTCAAACTGTGGTCCTCCGGGGGCCACTGCCCTGTTTTCAACACACCTGATTCAGAAAAACTCACCACTGGTCAGGTGGTCAGGAACTCAGCATCATCTGAAGAAAAGCAAAGAACTTTATCATCTTTTAGACTCAAGAGCTTTTCATTATCTCCCCAATTGGCTTTCTGTTTTTGTTTGTCTAACTAAAGTAGAATTAATCCCAACAAAGGACTTTGAATTGGTTTATTTATTCATTTATAGTCTGTGAATCAGTTGAATTGATTTAAATAAAAAATGACAAAGGAAACAAATATTTTGCTTATCCCTAAAAGTAATTATGTGTAATTAACTGTCTGATAACGTGGAATATGTCAGTCCACATTTATCCCTTATCATCAAGATTAAGACTCGTTTTAATCATGGAAAGTTTCATTTAAAAAAAGTACAAACATGACTGTATTTTTCCAACATTAATCAACCCTTATGTTTGAAAGACCTTTTTCCTTTTCCTTCTTAGGTTAGTTTATTTCATTCACTGAAATTATTTGAATTCCTCATTAAAGAAATGTTTCCATTTGACGTTAATATTTTCTTTTAGAGTTTTTACTCACCAAACTGTTGGGTTTTCAATCATGCTCTCTATCTTCAGACATCGTTGTCATTTGGACATTATATCGTCAATCAAACATAGTTTCAACAGAGTTTTTATTTATTTATTTTTTGTCCAATGAAACCATTGGACTATAATAAAAAACATAATATTTTTCTGGTAGCCCAGTTATTCAATTCTCCCTCTCTGGTCTGCTGCTCAGATCCATAGTAAGGTCAATAGGTTTAGACTGCCCCCTAACGGTGAATATGGGTACTGCACCATCTCACTCCCGACCCTTACCCCAGTTCAGTCTTTGAACTAATCAAAGCTAAAAAGAAAAATGTTAAAAAAGAAACAGGCAGTGAAACTAAACAGAAACAGAG